GTCACTTGGGACTTGGCCACAATTACTGTTCCCAAATTTAAGGAACATTTTGTAGGGACTATGTAATGAGGATCCCAATCTAGGAACCTGTATTATACTGAATTTAAGGGAATCTGCATACAATCCCTATACAAGCCTAGCTTCCAATTGATTTGATTTTCCATATCCTTTTCCAATCAGGCTAATATCCCTGAATCCTAAACCCTAAACCCTAATCCCCAGACCCTTAACCCCTACTAAACCCTAACCCTAAACCCTAACCCTGAACCCTAAACCCTGATCCCCAAACCCTAAACCCCCCTAAACCTTAATCCCTCAACCCCACACCCTGGACCCTAAAGGCTAATCCCTAAACCCTGAACTCTAAACCCTAATCCCTAAACCCTAACTGAACCCTAAACCCTCGAAAAATCCCCCATGCGACGGCCATCCTCAGGCTGGGCAGGATCAGGTATCGGCTCAAAAAGTGAGCACCTGAGATTCTCAAACTGCCGACATGGCACGGGTTTAGTGGGTTTAGGGTTTAGGGTCCAGGGTCTAGGGGTTGGGTTTAGGGATTAGGGTGTAGGGTTGAGGGCGCTAAAACATCAGCTCTGAAAAGAAGTCCACCAGCCAAGGTTCTATTACTTTCTGCAGCCCATGAGTGCAGCCAGGTGTCTGCAAGGCTTGCCCACGCGGATTCTGAAGAACCAGATCCTGCCGCCGTCCATGCCCCTGCAGCGTTGAGATTTCAAGCAATCAACAGCACATTCATGAAAAGTCAGTACGCTTTGGTCAATTTCTACTTGTATACCTCTACCAGCCCTGCTACGTCTACAACCAGCCCTTCCTTCCTTCTTTCCTTCCTTCCTTCCTTCCTTCCTTCCGTGCTTGGGTTTGATTTCTCCATTTGCTTGGCTGATCCAGGCAGCACCCAGACGTCCAAGGCCAAGTCCCAAATTCGAAAAGGAGCTGAAGAGAAACCACGACGACCACGACTCCAACGAGCACCAAAACAACCGCGACGAGCAAGGCGAACACAAGAACAACAACGACGCAGACGATCACGACCACGACCACCATCATCACAACCACCCACGACCCCTTGACGACCGTCATGGCAACGCCGCCGCCGCCGACATTAAACATGATGACAATCATGAGACTCCTTCGCTATGACATTCTCTGACTGCTGTTGATTGCCAAGCAGTCTTTGCCCAGCCTTGTCTGCAATTCGGAAGGTTGTTGGCCCAAGCTTTGTTGGCGCATAGCGGCATCGTGGCGGCCTCACGAAGACAATGCTGCCACAGGCGTGGATAGCAATTCAACACTGTTGAGATACTCTTCAGCTGTTGCTACAACTTTCTGAGTTTTTGCTCATCTACAGTGACTGCCTTGCGCCATCAGCTAGTCCCACGTTGGGCCTGATGATCAGGCTAAGCAACAAGTCCAGCGGGGAGCGGAGATCGACCTACCGGCTTCCGACGTATCTCTTGGGGTTGCTCACCAGACTGCTTGGCGCAAGGGAAGTGACAACATAACATATACACACAGTACCAGGACTACTGCTATTCTGGCTTTACGACTACGCGTGCGCGATACTTGCCATCATCATCCTTGGAATTAAGGGGGCTCACAAGGATGTTTCCAGAAATTGGGGGTCCACATATCGAAGACTCTACTATCCTGTAAAATATTTCTAAGAGATATCCTACTTTTGGACACCTGCATATAGAATGGGCTTCTTTGCCTGTTCCAGTTGAATCTGCTGCAGCTCAGCTGGTGGCATGCGGAAGCCATTGGCTAGCGCTCCATGCCAGCCCAAGCCAGTAATCCACCCGCCCCCCCCGCCCTTGATGTTGCGCGCTGCTGTATGCTAAAACGTCTAAGTATTCAGTATAATGAATGTCTCAGAACTCCATCTTTCAACTGTTAAAATACTCTAGCCGCGTGAAAACAATGCTTCCATGGACATATTGACTTATCTCTCCAACGTAGTCATGTCTCCATCATTGAGCAATGAGGCTATCTTTCGGTACAGCCTTGACCAAAAGGGCCCTGGTCAAAAAAAAAAAAAGCGGCACGAAAAGCTGCTTGCAACATGGGGCAACAGGGTGCAACAAGGAAAGAGGAGCGAAGCTAAATGTGTCAAAACCCTGAAGCTCCCGCCCAAGCTTCCCGAGCTTGTTGATTGGCCAGCGCCTGTGGCAGCAAGGGATCACCGCTCATGCCCCCCCCGTAATTCCGCCCGGTCCCATGTTGATACCATCATTCATACGCTGCTTTGCGGACAACGTCTGACAGTCTGCCCCCCCGTTAAGGAAGACTGAACTCAAGTTTACTCCGCTACTTGTAGCTTTCGTGACTATCACCCATGACCCTATTGATGATCTACGGGCAGAGTAGGAGCCAGTGCTCCGAAGGCTTCAAAGCTGTGCGGGGGCCAGAGGACGACAGCCCAATTGTGCCTCTATGCAGGATGAGCTACAGTCGAAACTCCGAGCATCCACCTTAAAGCCCCCTATACCACTCCCCTACATAATCCCCTACATAAACCCCTTTAGGGATTTTAAACTGTAGCTCACATGCTGATAAGCGCCCTACTAATCGAGCAGTCTGGCCTGCTGAATTGAAAGAACACGCAAACACACCATCTTGCAGAACACCAAAGATGGACCAGAGCACCTCCTGCCCCTCGCGCGTTCCTGACAGGTGGGCACCATGACAAGCAAGGCAATCACGAAAGGCGAGTATCTCAATAACGTCTGGAATGAAAATTGATGCGGCGTGCCATCAGAACAGCTGCTATTTCTAGCTAATTAAACACGACAATAACATGATGCCCCTTGCCTTGTCACTTGCAAAAGGAATGGTACCATGGCTGCAATACTCAAATTCCAGTACAAATTGAGAAAATCTCTGGCGAACTTGACTCAAGCTTCACGGCACACAGGCATACCTTGCTACTACTTTGACAGGCCTTTCACCAAGGCCTCACGACGGAGCCCAAGCCAAAGCCTCTGCTCTTACAGGGAGATTAAACAATATTAGGGCTATTAGGGTTCTATCGGGGCTATATGGGGATAATGGAAATAAAATGGAAACTAATGTGGTATATTGGGGTCATTGGGGTTAGAATGGGTGCGTGGCAACCTCTGGGTTACAAGGTCTCTCTTCTTGGGGTTGTCGGCTCAACCGGCACTCTCGACCCCTCGAGACGGGCGTTCCAAATACGACAAGGAAACCTGCTGATGATGACTCAGCATAACAAGACATATTCTCACCACGGCAAGAAATTCACAAAAGCTGCACGACAATGCACCATCTATTGCTTTTTGCTGCGCTCGACTGCATGCTTCCAGGAACGCCCAAGGCTCCAAAAGCTTCAGCATAACACGACCCCAGTAGATCCCTGTCAATGTCAGCAAAAACCTGTCGTAGCGACAAAAGACCTGTCATGGTACCCGAACCCTGCTCCCCCTTGATGGTACAATCGTCCTTTACAACTGCTTGCCAAGGCTGCTGCGAGTGCGCCAAACAATGCAAGGTCGCCAGGTGAAGTGCCACAGCGGATGGCAGCAAAGCCTTCAGGGCAGGCTAAGCCATGTATTCTTGTTAGAATCCGCACTAGAGCTATAAAGTGGTGCGAGCACCTCTGCCAGCACGAGGCGCGTTGCGTCGACCAGAGCTGCCAGCGGTGGCTGGAATGCACTAACCTCCCAGCGGAGCAATTTGCAGGCATGCACGGATACAAAGGGTGCATGAATTGGATTTTCACAATGCGCCTGTTTCGAAATTGTCTCCCTCACCTACATGGCTTGAAATCGACACTACTGGGATCTCAGCGGCATTTTGACTGAGAGCAACACCCACACTAACTCCGGCAGCGACGAGCTTGCCAGCCTTGGAGTTCTACGTGTTTGCATGATTCTGCATGTAACAATGGAGCGGCTTGGCAACTCTGGCAATTGCGAGTAGGCTCGGCATTGTGAGATTGAAAGGCATGCATCACACACGCTTCCTAAACAGAAAGACAATAAGGAGAGCTCGCCTCTCAATGCTCTTAGCTTTAGCCGGACCCCTCCCGAGCGGCTGAGTGGCTGGCTTAGTTGCGAATGTTGACAGCGCCTCCTTCAAGAAGCCAAAGCCAGAATTCACCTCAGCATGGCGGTTTGCGGCTGCGAAAACCTTCAGACAAGCGCCCACCAATTTGCAGATGTACCTGACGGCAGGTTTTGTTTGCGCGAGCTACATGAAGCTGGCGGTCACTTTTGATCTCTTGCCACAGCAGCATGTGCATGCGCCAGTGGTTAGCGCCCCATCTTGCAGCCATCACACAGCCAGGAAGCTCTCTGGGACCTCTTAACTGCCCAAAAGGAGCACGGAGTAATATGAGAATTCCTGTGCGGTTGGAAATGAGTAGCTGCCTTTGTCAAGAAGTTCCTTTGAGAGAACCCCCTGCATGCTTGACAGATGTCTCTTTGCTGGTCCCATTAGGACGAAGCACGCCAGTGCCTGTACAAGAAGCCTTCGCTTTATCAAGCGCGGCCCCGTCTATGAAAGGTTTGCCAGAGATGGCGATGTCTGTGCGGGCAGATCCAAAAGTGGAGCTGCAGCAAAAAGAAATTGGTGAGCTCCACAAGCCCAAGAAAACTTACTTATGTCGCCGAGGTGTCACTGCTGAATTCATCTAGTGAGGATGTAGAAATATTCTGTCAAAAGTCTTTCTGAAAATTAGGGCAAGGACAAACCTAGTCACTTGAGCTTGGAGAGAAGTGCTTCTGCCTTCTCTGGCTTGTCAAGACCAGGACCTTTCCAAGCTCTCCATTAACACATTGACATGCAGCTAAGGCTTCGCCGATTCATCTGCGTCCTCGAATTTTGTTGATTTTACAGCCATTGTCATGTGATTCATTGAATTCTACAGGCTCGGGAAAGAAACCTTTACAGACGAAAGCTTCCCGAGCCGACGCCACGCCACGATCTGACGCTGCTGACAAGGGTAAGCCGCCACGAGTTTCTCATGGCTTCGCCTGATCATTTGCCTGATCACTGCTTGGGCAAATTTTCCAGCCGCTGGCCACAACCGAGCCATCCGCATACCAGTAAATGGTGGTGTCCGGGACCACCCCTTCCGGACCCACTAATCCCGAGTAGGCCTTGCAATTGACGAGAAGATTGTCATAGCCTGCCTCGGTGGTGAAACTTTCCACTGAGATTGGCACGGCTGCCGAGGTGTTCACCGCAATGGTGCAGTCCTCAGCTGAGTCGCTGACAACGGTCAGTACGAGCCTGCCATATTCAGACAAACCCAATCTTACACTACACTGGATTGGGTACAGCAACGTCAAAGTCACTTCACGTTTCGAGTTAATCCGAAAGGCCAGACAGGATGAAAGAACCATAGAGCAACCAAGCATCTTCTTTGTTGCTGTAGTTTCCCGGGTACCCAGGACTGACAATACAGTTTGAATCATCCATCGAGCAGGCGCCTTTGAGCACCGCCCACATGGCATTTCCAAAGTCAATATCTCTGGATGTTTCGTCGCTGGTGTCGGAGGGTGTCACTTTGCCATTGATCACATCATGGATCCAGCCCAAGGCTGAGGAAACTCGCGAGTACACGCCTGGATAGCCCTCCAGGGCACACCCATCGCCCCAAGAAGTAACGCCTCGCACAATGTAGTGCCCAGCCACTTCGCACACCAGAGGTCCGCCACTGTCGCCCTGGCATGTGTCCGTGATGCCCTTATCGGAGTTTCCAGTAGCGCAGAGCATGGAAGCAGTCACGCTCTCGTTGTGGCTAGCGTAGTCCTCCTCGCACTCCTTGTTGCTCAGCAGCGTAACCTGAGCCACAGCTGACAGGCAACATCAACAACTACCAGCAGCTGTTACTAGCTCTGGATGTCAAGACGCACGGAATTAAGGGACGTCATCCATGCTAAACATGAACACCTCGAATGGCAATACTGGGGGCAGTGCCGGTGCTTCTTGGAGAACTTCCGGCATTGGTCCTGCTGCTATAGCAAGCGAACATGCGCTACAAGCACTTTGAGTTAATTGAACTTCCCTTGTCCCTCAGGCGGAAAACTGTTTTTGATTTTCTTAAAGCAGCTGCTCCTGACGACATCAGAGTGCCCCAGCCAGTGATGCTACACTCTGCTCCAGCCAAATCTGTGTCTTCGTCCATGGTTGGCAAGCAAGCGACGCCGATGCACTCATTGATTGGCATTGGCTTGTCCAGCTCCTTAGTCAGACAGCTTAACCACAATTGAGAGCTTCGAACTCCACTATCGCTAGTCAGGCCAACAATTGGCAAGCAACTACCAAAGCCAGGTCAAAGTCCGAGTCAGCTGCTTTGTCGTATTGCGGATGGCTGAAAACTTGTTTGATGCGACGCTCGACTGACTGTCCGCTAATAGCCTCATCATCTGAGTACTGCTTCCAGTCTCCTGCAACTATTCTGAGCTTCCGCATCTTGCACACATTCATGTTCTCGACGCAATGGGCGGCCGTCAAGACCCAGCCAGGAGCGATCAACGTCCCCCCACAAAAAGCGGCTGCAGGGCCATTATCTGCCCGAGCACTTCGCAGGCTTACCTGCCATCTCCACGCACACTGATCTGCATCTTTGCCATGTACGATCCTGGTTCTGCGGCCCTTCCTCCAGGCACATGATGAAACTTTACTTGAGCTAGTCGGGGGGGAAGTGATTGGAGCATAGACTTTGATTCCCATCCCGCCTTATGGGGCCTCCGAGGATGCCACACTGAGTAAAGTCACGTGTGTCCAGCTCACTGCCTACACCCTCCTCCACCTGGCCATCTACCTGGGCCGCCACCTGCTGGCTGCCCCGCAGATTGCCAGATTGACTGACAGGATCCTCTGATGCCACAGTCAGCAGGGTCAGCAGACAGCTCACCACGGTGGCAAAACTTCGCAACATGGCAGATTGCACAGTTTACACAGCATGCACTCTGGATCTACTTCTGAGACCCCTGAGAAGACAAAAGGGCCAACATGAATCATGAGCCATGCCAGGTGTTCAATGACTTCCGTGTCAACTTCTGGTGATGTTGGGTCTGTGACGGAAACATGTCAGTCGGCGTCGTAAGGACCAAACAGCACGCATCTTGGGCACCACGCGACTATCAGCCTGGACAGCAATCACGATTTATGGCACAACACAAACCCCAAACGGATCACATCTGCAAGATGGGCCTCCGGGTCAGCCTGAGTAGCCGCGTCCGATCCTTGACCTCCACACTCAGCACTTATATAGTGGACTGACAGCGAGGCAGGACCATTGCAGGACCCACATTGCAAACCGGCAAATCTCTCCGTGCAGCGTGACACGTTAGCACCTCCCTGGAATGGACATGCTGGCAGGCATGTGCAAATGCTAGGTCAAACCAGGCCTGATGCCACAAAGACTTCCAAGCACCGGTTGCGAAGGGCACGAGAGACCTTGAAAGGCAGTTCCGGAGCAGGTGGTGTCACAAATAATGCTGAGCATGCGGCAGTTGCAATGGAACCTCCTGTTGTCAGCGTAAAGAAGATCCGGAAGTCGGGATGAGGCCTCAATCACCAGCGGTCGGTTCCAAGCACCAAAACTACCAAGAGGTACATGAGATGTGCGCCAAATGAGCCTCTCCTCTCCGGATTCCGTCAGCCTCAACTGTTCAAGCTGTTGAGATGCTAAACTCCACATGGAAGATCATGCAAGGGTCCTCCGAGGATGTGGCAACAGAAAGCCGCCTGGTTCCAACAGCGAGTTTAGGCGATCTAGGACTGCCGGGGCTGCCTGAGGTATGCCAAGTTTCAGCAAGACTTGCACCTTCTCCCGAACAATTCTGGGCCCTCTGCTTGTTCTGCATGGGAAAGCAAGACCCAACTTCCTTCCAGCATTGCAGTCACCAGAGGCCCATCCACCTGCAGGCTGTTCTCTCGTGTCTCGTGGCTTCCGAGTGTTTTTCAGCACTATAGGGCAAGCACCCACTCAAAACGTCCTGCCGAGTTCATCCGTGCCCTGCCGGTCTGCAAAGAGAAAAAGGGGCCACGTCTTTCGATGTTTTTTACCGCGAAAGGCCTTGCTGACGAGAGCAGCTTTGCAGCTTCGCCCAGAACCTCCTTCAGGTTGAACCCCTTAATACCATCCATGAATATCCTGCATTCCACCCTTGGGTCCTGGGAATTGGTCTCATGGCCGGCTGCCTGCAGCCTTGAACCAGGATCTAAGATATGGTCTATGCTTCGATTCCACAATGGATGAACTGTAATGTCGAGGTCTCGGCTGTGCGACCAGCGCCTCTGCCTGGAGCAGCCAAACGAGTCTAGCGCTGCGTGAGGCACGAGTCCAGTGAAAAACCTACCTGGGCCAACATCTCCTGGAGTGGGGCCTTGCCGGTTTCCAGAGCAAAGAAGGGAGTGCAAAAGCATTTAGCCTTCTTGTCCAGACTCGCTTCCAACAGGCTGCTCTGCCTGAAGGGAGGCTGACCAACTGACCGAAAGCTACAGACCTAGGGGAGGCTGCCTGAAGCATTCATCAGCTTTCACACGACTGGCAGCCGCAGTCGGCAGGCCCTCCTGCCAGGCAAAATCGGAGGCGTCTCCCTTGGCATGGCCTTATAGCAAAACTTGGGAGTTCTCGCTTTTGGGTCCATGGCCTGGGCTCTTCTAATTCCGAAGGCTGCTGAAGCGATGAACTTCGCAAGCTGTCGCAGGAGGCTCCGGGCGTCCACCTGCTATACCGGCTTCTGTGACCCGTGAACAGGCCTTTATAGATACTCTCTCAATGCCTAGCACACATTCAACCGAACCTGCTCAAAGCAGCCCAGGAGTTCGCTGGCATCCATGGCCGGGGTCAGCGGAACCTTCCACTTTCTTCCTGCATGCGAAAATGTCGTGGGCAGCTTTGCCTCTTGCAGTGGCATCTGTGCCATGGCCTTGGCTGCAAAATGAGTTCAAGTGACAATGGCAAAAGCCACTTTGAAGCTCAGCGGCCGCCAGCCATCTCACCAGACTGTGCTTCCCAGCACCGGGCCCGCCCACCAGTAGGAGAGGCCTGGTGCTCAAAGCAAAGGCAGCTAAGGACACAGCATCTCACAGACCACCAGAACTCTGACCCACAGGTCCCTCTTTTTTTTCATGTCTCATGGGAAATCTTCTTGGATGCCGGAATCTTGTTGCGTCGGAGGATGTCCTCCTCGCAAGCTTCAACCGCAGCTCGCTCCAGCACGATGATGTCAGGTAGGAAGCCCGAACCTCGGCCGTACAGCTCAAATCGCAGGAACTCCTCTTTGGAAGCCTGAACAAGCTCTGATAGGTGGGCAATGTTGCGGATCCGCACAGGGACTCCATCCACCACAAAGGCTTTGAGGCGAGCATTTCTAACATCCTGAAAGCCCAAGTTGACCGTGTGTGCCAGCACGTAGGACAGGACGACCACCTGCTCATCTGGGAACTCACGTTCCCGAGAGTCCATGATCTCTGAAAGTCCATTGCAACGCTCTTTGCGCCACTTATCCCCAAAGGTGGCACGTAGGTATTGCTGGGACAGCACCACAAAGACGAGGCCACCGATAATGCAGTAGTCAAGCAGCCATGGAGCTTCTTTCTCTACGGACACGAGTGGCTCCTGCGGACATAGCTGCAAGGTGATGGATAGCCTCTTGCCCTGACGCATTATCTCAGCTTCCAGCTCTTCGCCAACAAACTTCTCTATAGCAACATACGGAAACGGAACTCGGTCGTGGCGTGAAGTGCCACAAATGAATGGAACACAGCCATCGTTGCCGACTGACACACCGATAAGTGACAGAAGCACATCACCTTTCTGCAGAACCTTGGCATTAGATGTTGTGGGATCGACAGACTTCACGATAACACCACTTTGTCCGTTGCTCAGGCCCACAGCACGCCTCATGCCAGCGTTTTCAAGTTTCTGTGCAGAGAAACGCCCGTGTCCGAAAGCCGTCACTCTGATGGGCGTTGGATCCTCAGACTGGTTTTTTGTGCTTGCAGCGGCCTTTAGTCTCCGCCAGGCTGTAAGGAATTTCTCCACGACACTGACTGGTATGATGAAGCCGATGTTCTCCGTGGAGCCATCCTTCAGGGACTCGTAAGCGACGCCCACGCAGGAGCCTGGAGCAAGCAACAAGTCTGTTGACACATTTAGGAAAATGTTTCTTTCGTCAAGTGGAACCTCCTGCAACCAAGGCTGGCCCGCCAGAGTTGCCAGGATTCACGGCAGCATCGATCTGAATCACCAAGCGGTTTCTCCATGGATCTGGATTGTCCTCGTAGTCCACCCGACTTACCACCCCCTTTGTCACAGACAGATTGTCCCCGCCAGTGGGATACCCGACGCAGACCACTTCAGAGAACAGTGCGGGAACATCGTGGCAGAATTTCTGTGCCGTGGCGCCTTGCCAGAACGTCTCATCTCGGACTGTGAGAAGCGCCAGGTCGCAGTCCGTGGCGCGGGCAAGGACCTCGGCCTCATATTTCTGGTCGTCTCCTCGCTTTCGCACCTCCTCGCAACCATCAAGAAGGCAAAAAAACACAATTGCATTGAGGTTGAATCAGGCAAGCGGCAATACAGCTGGCATGCGCAACGCAGTGCCGATTCGTGAGCAGCAGCCGCTCTTTCAGGCATAGCACAAAGGCTGTGGAAGTGGAGGATTGCTGCCTTGCAAGTGAAACAAAGTTCCTTTGCTGAACGTGCCGCAGTCATGGACTCATTCTGCTCTGGCCTCTTTGTCGTCCAAGGCATGGAGTAGTTCCTGGGTCGGCTCATTGGCATCTGCGAAACTCGCTGGCGGCTTGGCAGCCAAGTCTCGGTTTCAGCTCCCGGCAGAAGAGTTTGACCACGGAGGTGCCTGGGCACTCGCAGAGCAAGGCATGCTGCAGCTTGTTCGCATGAAGGCGAGCCAAGTGGCCTTCAAGCAGCGCACTGATGTTTCCCCAAAGGTCCTGGCGGCATGCTATCACACACCCACCCAACAAAGTAGCAGAGCAAGATGTCCATCACAAGCACCGAGGGAGCTGAATCAGCACAAGTTGCAACAACCTTCTCTTTGTCGGGATGCGTGAGGGCAGGATGGGGCGGGCGTATGATGCTTCATGGGCCCGTTTACTGTAGCAGCTGCCTAGTAGCAGCTCTCTCCTTGGCATCGTTGCGACGGTAGCGCTTGGCACTTTGGCCAGCTTCGTCAGAATCGTCACCCATGGCTCTGGCAGGCCTTTGACTTTGAATACTTTAGGTAACGCTTACGACGCTTACGCTGGCTTCAACGAAGTTGCTTTCCAAATGGCGTTCTAGCAAAAACACACGATTTTTGTGGACGTTTCAGTTGAAGCCTTTCTGAGTTCTGAGATGGCTGCAAGACCGACACAGGGGAACGACACTCTGCAGACACGCTTCCGAGACTTCACACCAGTGAGGTCCGGTAAGTGGTGGGCCACTTCAGCTCTTCTGACACTGCATGCGACATTGCATGTAGAACATCGGACTGACCTCACAAAAAGAAAGCAGGACCGGCACCCAGCCAGGGTGCTGCAGAATGCTGTAGATTCTGAGATGGTCTCCCGCCAAGGCTGTGAGATGCGGAACGTGCCGCAGGTGCTCCGAAGCACTCAAACCTGGCTGAATCGAAGGGAAGTCATTTCGGGGCTTGTGTCAACAAGGCCTCGCAGGTCATCGACTCGGAGGGGTCGGCGGAGCAAAGCTGATCCCACCTGCAGTTACTCTGTTCTTCTGCGCTGACTTCTGCACTTGGCACAGAAGCTCACGGTATCTCACAGTTCCTTGGCTAAACCTATTCGGCTTTTCTGCGGGTGCTGGGTCGAGGTTCCTCGTTGGGTTGACTGTTGTCAAGCTAACTGTCCAAATCTATAATTTCTTTTGCTGCACAACGCGTTCCCAGTTAAACGATGGGAACACTGCGGTTCAAACACCTTTGTCAGCTTTGCTGGGCTGGGCAATCATTAGCTGTTCTTTGACAGCCAGGCTATCACCACCACATGATGGATCACCCCAAGTAATAACGGTGCCATCCAACTGTATCGCTGCAAAAGCACCACCAGAAGCTGTGACATCTTTGATGCCTGTCAGATGCTCCTGGACACTCTTACTGTCGCCACCAAAACGCACATCGCCCCAGGTGATGACAGAGCCATCGGCACGGAGCGCAGCGAACGCATCTGCAGAAGCTCTGACCTCGAGCACGTCCCGCAGCTGTTCACGCACCTCGCTGCTGTCGCCGCCTCTGCGAGGGTCGCCCCATGTCACCACGGAGCTGTCTGCGAGAATGGCAGCAAAAGCATCTGAGGACGCCTGCAAGTCACGCACCCCCTTCAGTTGATGTTGGACCGAACTACAGTCTCCGCCTCCGCGCGCATCACCCCACGACACAACGGTACCGTCAGCCCGGAGTGCAGCAAACGCACATGAGGAAGCTCGGATATCCTGCACTCCATGCAGCTGCTTTCGGACAGCACTCTGGTCGCCTCCGTCCTGAGCATCTCCCCAGGACACCACGGTGCCATCAGTGCGAATAGCGGCAAAAGCACCAGCGGAAGCCCGGATCTGCCGAACGTTCTTGAGCTGCTTCCGGACTGTACTACTTTCACCACCGAAGCGAATGTCGCCCCAGGTCACTACAGTTCGGTCAGCACGCAGCGCTGCGAAAGAGGCAAGCGTAGCTCGTATGTCTTTGACATCTTTCAACAGCCCTTGAACTTTAGAGCTGTCTCCACCGTAGCAGACATCTCCCCAAGTGACAACTGTGCCATTCTTGCGGATGGCAGCAAACGCTCCTGCAGAGGCACGAACCTCCCAAACATTCCTTAGCTGCTCCTGGACCTCCGAACTATCACCGCATTGGTCTCCATAGCCCCAGGCGACCACCGTTCCGTCTGCCCGGATGGCGGCAAAAGCGCTGCGGGAAGCTCGGATCTCCTGCACGTTCTTTAACTGGTCTTGCACAAGGCTGCTATCGCCACCTGAGGCCTCATGCCCCCAAGTAACAACCGTGCCGTCGGTCCGAATTGCAGCAAACGAGCCCTTGCACGCGCAGATCTTCTGCACATCATCCAGCTGTGATTGCACATTGCTGCTATCACCGCCAGAAAAGCCGTAGCCCCAAGTGACAACTAAGCCATCAGGTCTGATCGCAGCGAAGGCATCGGTTGCCCAGGAAGATGCCAAGGGCCAGGCATCTCCACCGCTTAAGAGAGACTCCCATGACGATGTCACAACCGTCTGCCGCAAGGCAGCAGTCAGGGCGTCGGCGTCTTCCACTCCAGCCTCTCTGAGTGACCGCCTTCCGACCAGCCGTTGGCCGTTTCTGCAAAACAGCGCGCTGATGTCTGTTTGCAGCACACGTTGGGCTCTCAACCTCAACTCATTAACACTGCTGTCAGGCTCGCACGAGATACTGGCACTTCGGCCGCTGAGTAGGGTGATCTCAACAGTGATTGGCATGCCAATGCGAGCATTGCGCCCAGACCCCTATCCGTCTCGGAGTAGAGTCATGGGAACTTGAGCCCAGCTCCCGCTATACAAGGCATGAAGGTCAACCGCCTGAGAGTTAGCTACTCAGACCGCTTGCCTGTTGCAGCACCCTGTGTCTGCAGGCCCCGTGCCTGCAAGCCTTCAGGACGTTCTTGCAGGCTGTGCGCCCCGAGGCCTTGACAAGATGACTGGCAGTGGCATCAAGCAAGAACCCGCCGCATGGCAAAAACAGACATATTTGCATACACGAGCATGTGCACATGCAACACATGCAATGGTGCCCGGCACAGGACTGGGGTATTGACACCTCAGTAGCAGGATGCCAGCAAGATACGATTCAAACTGCAGAGAAACTGCTCAAGGTTGGTGCCAGGTTTTGTTGTAGAGTCGCATGATATGCCGGTTGCCTCTACGTTCCAAATCGTTCTCAGCTGATCTGCGAACAATGAAACCTGTCCTCCAACTCAAAACCGCAGCCGCTGCGTAGCAAGCTCGCCGCAGCCAAGGCCTGTGCGGGAGCAGAGCATGATAATTTCCAATTTCCCATCCGCACTTGGCTTCAGCGCACTAGCCAGAGGCGATGCGGGCCTCTTTTACTGAAGCTGTTGCAGCTGGGAGGGGGAAGACCCTGCAAGCCACCACTTAGCAGGCTTGGCTGCATAGCCTTTGCTTCGAATCAGTTCCTGCCTGGAGATGACCCGCCGCGCTATAGCCCGGTCTGCTTCGCAGCGAAGACGCGATGCCTGTGACTTGCTGTTGCACAAAGCAACATCTTCTCTACAGCCTCCTGAGGTCACGGCAAAAAGGAGTTCAGCAGAAGCCTGGTGGTGGTGTGCCAATGGCACTTTCGCCTGAGACAATAAATGACGAGGCCAGCCAGCAGTGCTGTTTCATTCTGGTTTGTCTGCATTGGTATTGCGAGCATGCCTAAGGCCCGGGGCACGAAGAATCTCGCACAATCGCAGTGCATCACGAAGGTTCCAATCCTGGCAACTCTGCTCCACTGCATGCAATGCAATGCATGAACAAAAGCTTTTGAAATTTCAACGCTTCGGCCGGCGCGCAAAGTCTAGATGAGCTTCAAAAGCCCCACCACCTGAGCAGGAAAAGAAGTGTGTGACCGACTTTAGTCTCTTGCTGGGCCTTCTTTGCTGCAACCCTGCGATGCCAGCTGTAGCTCTTCAACTAACAGGACCTGCCAGGACTGTTTGGCCTGCATCCCGAATAACCTAGCTCACTGAAGGGTGCTAGTCCCGCAGCTTCCGCTCCAAAGGCTTGAAGGCTTAATCTCTGCCGGAAAGGCAGCCCTGTCAACAACTTCCATGCCCAGTTCACTGCCGTGCGCATGACGGCCTAGAGACAGGGGCGTGCATCCATCTCCAAACCAGATCGGCATAAGGTCAAGAAGTTGTTGAGGCACGAGCAAATATGTCGCAGGTCTTCAGCGGACCTTGGCACATGATGATGATCATCATCCTGGAACTACCAGGCATGTCCTGCTCAAGCCACGAGGATCTCCAGATCTTGGAAAGGAGAACGTAAAATGGGCAGTTGTGTCAGACTGGGGCAATTGCAGCTGAGACAGCACCACGCGGGTAAAGCGGTTGAGAAAGGATCGTGGAAGCCCTTTTCGTCCACCTCGCTGCTACGTAGAGGTAACCAGACATGTGCCACGCCTATTCGAGCCTCCAGTGGCAACAGGATTCTGAGCTGCAAAGAGCCTGAACATCTTGCTGGCATCCATGGTCTCGAGGCATGCTATAATCAGCATCAGCGATCAAGCAGGCTGGCAGAGCAGACTATTTTCATCAGAAGTAGCTGTGAAACTGCAAAGGTGCCTGAAGCCTGGATGGGCTGCGACAGTCTGGCCAATTGCCGGCAAGAAAACCTGCAAGATCACGGAAAAGGCCATGCAGTCAGATTTCACAGGAAAACAGCATCCACCATGTAGATATCAGTTCACAAAAGGCACGCAGCTGGTTGTGCAGAAGCAGAAGCAGATGTCAGGTCCACAATACATGGTAGTTTCCCAAAATAAAGGGCCCCCAAAAAGGTACCCCTAATTTTGGGAAACCCCCACATTTCTGAAGGCCTCTCGCCGGTGGTCCAGAAGAGCGTTGAGACCCTCCAAAGTGGCCTGCCATCTTCTCGGCAGCTAAGCTTCAAATACATCTGGACGTATTGGGCAGCGATTTCCCTGAATGTTGACATGTCAACAATGTGTCTGAGCCATTGAGCCAGCTTCGTGGCTCAATCGCTCCACAGCGCGCGCTCCTGCGGTGCCAAGTTGATCTCGTCAAGCAACACCCAGTCCTAAAGCATTGCCAGTGACCAGCAAGCCAGTAGGCTGCACAATCAGCCACGAGTGAAGCTTCAATGTGAGCCAGCAGGTTTTTCAACTGGGTGCCCTGCACCCCGCTTCAGAGCTCGCAGAAGAGCTCCATCGCACCAGTGGAAAGCTGCAACCTTGAGGCTTGACGGAAAAGCTTACCTTACATCCATGAATCCCCTTTCTCGTGCGGCGCACTGGAACACCAATGCACGATGCCCAAGGCCGTCACCTCACTACCAGGCATGGGCAAATCAGAGCCGAGAAGGTCCAACCTGAGAGCTATCCTCTACAGCAACAGCTGCACATAGAAGCACAGGATGGAGGCAACATAACAAGATGAAACTCAACTCAGCCCTGGACAGATCCGTTTGCTCAGACAAGTTGATGCGCAGCCTGTACAATTCTTGGCCCTTTGCTTACTGCTGGCTGGCTGCAAGCAGTTTGGCTAAGAGATTGCCTTGACAAGGCGGATGAGGCCCGGACAAACGCCTCTTCGTGGCTCTCGCAAGCGCCTGGACAGTCGCCGTCTTCCCGAGCCCAGGTGGACCTCGTCGCGGAGAAGGAATTGAAGCAAAGAGCACAGCATGATACATGGTACTCATCAGCCTTCCAGAAGGATTGCTTTCGGCTGCTGCAGCGCACGGACAAGCCGCCCTTAGTATAGCAGAATGAGAAGCTCCAGATTCCACACTTTCAGCAGGGGTCATGCAATGCCTCATACAGCTGGTCCGAGCACTCAGAAGTCTGCCAGGCTTGAGCGTCGCCATGTTGCGCCAAGTTTCTGCTTAGCTTCGCTTAGATCTTGTCTGTTCAACAGATCGGGACATGGGAGGCCCAGAGGTTATGCACTCCCTGTCTACCGGAATTAATGCAGCAATTGATAAACGCCCCTTAGGGAGCGGCATAAGCAAGCAAGCACCACCAAGTCAAAAATCCACGGTGGACTGTATCATGCGAGTAATGAGCTTCAGAAAATCGAGGCAAGAGTGCTCAAGCTCTCACGGTGCCGGGGCCGCATCCTGACGCAGGCTGCTCACGGTGTCACCACAAGCACCCGTAAATCAGCAATCTACCTTCGCCAACCTCTCAACTAGTGATTCATGCTCATGCACTACAAAAACAGGCCAGGCTTTCAGATGCAAGAGCAATTGCTTGTCGTCACGGATAAGCATCCGCAAGGACAGCTTCACTGAAAAACACGCAAGACGTCCCATTCCTCATCTCCGCCGTTTCTTCGACTTCCAAGTGAGGCTGCCGTCCTTCACTAGCAGAGGTGTCACGTGCAACAGTGCAGAGACCAAGACACATACGGCACAGATCTCTCCTCACCATTCGGGCCCTTGGAGCCACGGCGACGAAAGATAGTGGCGACCACTTTCGGGTCTGCACCTGCCAGGGGCAGAGAGCAGGGCGAGTAGGTTAGCAAGGATGAGAACTCCAAAGAGTTTGCTGCCTCGGATGTTTTTTGAGCGCCACCGGGGCTCGCCGACTGAGCAAAGGATGCCTCAGATGGAGTCAAAATACATCCTCGCAAGACAAGGCCTTGGTTCTGCCAGGAGGCCAAAGTTGGAAGCCAGTGGCATTATCCTTGCGGTCAAGGCAACTTCCTCATGCAACCGGAGCACGACTGCGAAGCAGCGCAACGCAAAATGTCAGGCCCAGATTCCGCTCGCCCACAGAGCGCACCAGGCCCCCAAAGCGTGAGTCCCCAACAAGAGGCCTGGCGATGTTGAGACCTTTGCTTGCGGAACATCCATGCCGACTTCAGGCGTTGTGGCTTCAGCTGTAGTTTCCCCTTTTCCCGTAGAGGTTAGGTGGTCCAGCTTTGGCACACAGCCCTAGCGTGGCTAAGCCCGCGCAGCCATAGGCTACTACTGCTGCATTGACCGGCCCTCGCTGCCTTTAGATCGGCCGACGGTTGTGTTTGACGTTTGCAGTACGACACCTCATGGTGTATGAGATTAGTCATCTGTTACACCGCAGCGTGGTTGCTGCTTCCTGATAAGCAGAATTCAATTCAACAGTGGGCGGAGCAGGTCAGGGAGGAGAAAACACGAGCCGGCCGCGCACAGACGTGCTCGCAGGCTACGGACATCGGCAAGGACCCTCTTGAGACAAGTGGTCTCGGGCAGGGAGGACTTACACAATCAGCGAGTCAGCCTTGCGCAAAACGTGTTGAGAACGCACCATTCCGCGTCAACCCTGCCAGATCAGGTAGACAACCTGAGGTTGGCAGTAGCTCAGGCAGACATGTCAAGCTGGAGCAGTTCAGATGTCGGCCCCTGGTGGTGCTATGCTTGCAGACGCTACTGCAAGGCCACGGCGGAATACTGCTCAAGCTGTGTGCAGCACTGGCAGGAGGCCAGCAGACCCCAGGGAGGTATGCACGTGAGGCATCAGTCCCCCAGGCGGCGACAATCGCCCTGGCGGCGACAGCCAGAACGCAATTGGGAGGCAGGGAAAGGCGGACAGAAAAGCAAGCCAGGGTATCAGGCTGCCGAGTGGAGTTGCCCACCGTGGAAGCCAGGAGAAACAAAACGCATGCAGCGGCTCCTGCCCCCCCCAGTGTTGGGGAGGACAGTGGCCAACTGCAAGAGCTGGTGGGTGCCATACGAACCGCCTTCTCGGGGCAAAATATCCCCGGGCCGCTGGCGGAAGTAGTGGCGAAGGTGGAGAGTTCTTCCGAAAAGAAGGTTACCAAGGACTTGCATTCCAAGACGGCCGAGTTAAGCCAAGCCAGAAGGCAAATGCAAGCAATCAGAAAGGCA